AGTATTTTAAACTGTATAAAAAAAATTGAAATCAATTGTGAAAATCCATTCCTTATATAGGACGGTCTCTCCTGTTTAATCAACCAGATAATTATTGTGCTGTGTGACATCATGGGCTGTATGATATCATAATAATGCATAATTTATTTGTGCGATTAACCAAATTCAACTAATTACCCACGATACATACATTTTCTTTGTGAGAGAATCTTTTGGCATAAATACATTTGCATTGCTTTATCTCTCTGTATTATTATTTCGATAGATCCAGAGAAGGAAAATGTTTAAAAAGGATAGTATATCAAAATTATACATTCTAATTGCTTTTTTTTTTCACTATCACTACGCTAAATACTTTATCCATAAAAATGGAAAATTTTTTAATCTCTTATAATCCAATCTCAGCAATAACTATTTTCACTGCATTGTATAAGCAGGTTGAGGCAGGTGAATGGACAGATGATCGTGAAGAAGAAATTGAGAATTTTACTGGAGTGCTTGAGACTGCCTTGAAACTGGTTTCTCCAGATGAAGAAGAAAGATGGGAAAAACTTCATAGTTTCGGAAATGGCAAGACTTTGGAACAAAGAGTAAGTCATTATTATAATTAATGTCAGTTTAAAGTATATTTGATGTGATGAATTATTGGTTTTCTTTTGGAGTGGTGAAATCACAAATATGTATCATGGGGTATACATTCATTTTCATCATTTTCCAATTACCTCAATGGATGAAATATAAGGTGGTATATAGACTGTGAATGTACCAATGTCTTCTTAGAATAAATACAGTGCGGACGTGGCAGTAACAGTTTATATACATCAAGCACCAAGTATGGATTTTATTGAGGCTATGTATTATTCATTGGCTAGCCTATTCTTTGAAAAAATTTATTTTGAAAAAAGGAAACCAATCTGATCGTGTGCACATATTTATCATTTCTGAATCGTTTTTGAATTTTAACTGATTAATGTTCTATATCTTAGGTATCAGAAGCATTTGATTATATCTGATCTTCACTAGAGCTCAACGCTTTGGTATACTTTTTATTTGATATTCCTGAATAAAATCTGTATCGTTGTAAATGCTTATTTTTTACAATTGTAGAATGTGAAGAAAACTTACCTCTTCAATAGAAAAAAGAGCCAGAATATGGAGGAATCTTGGCTAATTGAAGCATTGAAAAACTTCGAGACATTAAAAAATGAAGTACATAAGGTTCGTATTTTTAGCATGGTGGAAGTTCAATTTAATTGGTTGTGTAATGTGACAAAATTGAATATACAAAAATGGAAACTTTTATATAAAGTTCGGCCGATCCCTAAATAAATAATAAATTTTCGCATGTTTTGGATTTTTCGAATTTATTTTTAGACACAACCTTTAACTGTTAACTGTTGTTGGCTTTGATAAAGGTATAAAAAAGAAGGAATTCTGTAAAAATTTATGTAAAATTAAAAAAAAAAAATAAAAAATATAACATATCAATCAAATTTCTTTTAACAATCCTCGAAATAATATGTCACACAAATGGCAATTAATTTTATTACCACATTTGGTAATCAGAGGAATTCATTTTTTTTTTCGTTAATTAAAATTACTTAGCAATCGGGATTGTCGTTAAAGAATTATACATTGTTATCATTATTATTTTTATTAAGGAATGTGGATATTATATTGTTATGTTATATTGTGGGGAATATAATTATATTATTATCATATTTATATTATTTATAATCAAAGAAGTTATCTTTAAATTATGATCATACTTTCCAGGAAGTCTATAAGCCTCCATACAATATGTAAATTATATATTTATTTATTTTCTTATGATTTATATTTATATTTTAAGAATTGTATTTTTATTATTTAAAGAATGTAAAATTCAAACAAATAAAGAGAACTTTATTAACATTGTTAAATCAATATCTGAACATTTACATAAAACTCTTTTCCTGGCTGGTCAAATAAAATCAAAACCATTATTATTATACTTACTATTCACTACCATTCATTATATTACTACTTAAATTATTCGCTATTTTAACTATACTTCAATTATTTAATAAAAATGATGCGTAAAAATAAAAATACTGGTCCTTGTGCAGTTGAAAATTGTAAAGAAAATGAAAAAGGTCCTGAGTATGTTACTTTTAGAAGTATAACTGATAAAGCATTCGATAAGTTAATGAAGCATCCAGATTATTTAAGTATAAATTACTTAAAAAAAAATCAACAACTTTGTTTTACACATTATATGAAATATGTAGAACATAAATATAAAGAAGTGAATAAAAG